GGGGTATTTGAGAAAGGTGGTTTTTACTGGGGAAACAACTATCTTGCACCTGGCAAACTCTTGCGGTCTAATTCTTCTTTTGAGATTACTATCAAGAAGAATTTGTTGATCTTCTACAAAATTGGTAGGCTCACTCAATTACTAGGTAAAGTTAACATATAAGAGAGAAAAATAGAAATATATATATCACCCACTTGAGTCTCATCAATTACGCGCAACTGTTCAAAGTCCCGAGTACTTGCATAGGCCTAAGGTCTGCAATTGATTCATGAGACTTACGGAGCGTTTCCTGAGTTTGTAGATAGCTAGGTCTCCACACCCTTTCCCCTTAGATTATCGAAAAGAATAAGTACAACAAAACTTCAAAAAAAAAAACACTTGGGCTTCGTTGAGCTCATGGCCATGACGGCTCGAGCTTAGCCATGGCGGCCAGAGCTTGTGGCCAAGGTCGCTCGAGCTTGGTCAAGCTCAGCCATTCGACCATGGCAGCTGGAGCTTCTTTGAGCTCGCTGCCATGATCGCTTGAGTTTCATCGAGGTCTGTAAATCCCAAACAAACGCATCAATTTCTGCAATTCTCTTCCCTACACTATCTGCAATTTGGGTGCGTTTGGTATGAGTTTGGTTAGGTATGGGGTCATTAGTTTTGTATTGCAATGAAATGAATCAAAATGGATTTGATGAATCAATTCGGGTGATAACATTTTCAACCAAATCCCAACCTTCCCATTTGACGTGTCTAACAATCTCCTACCCCACTTTGCACCCACGGGCAGAGTGAAATCACAAAAAAAATAGATTATATTCACGTACCTATTTCATCGGAAATTCTCCCGCGACGAAATATAATTCACCGAACGTCGTTCTTCGGTTCTTAATGAGAGGAGACCGGGTTCCGTGGCGACTCCGGACAAGAAATATCCAGGGAGACAAGGAAAAAGGGCGAACTTTTACTCCGAACTTCGAACCGGACTATATGTACAAACCGTGCCGGAATTTAATCGACGACAAAGCTTGAAAATACAGCCGCATACATACACAAAGATCTAACGCCGGAATTTAATCGACGACGCAACACTCGGGATAGAGATACACGCCGGAATTTAATCGACGACGCGAATCGGAAAGCTACAGCTAAGGAAAGATAAAGTGCGGTACATGAAAGTAAAGATAATTGAACGATAACATTTTGTTTGATTTTTGGTCGGGTTCTCTCTCCAGTAGATGGCCGGTGATATTTATAATGGTCGTGTGGTAACTGCTCCTTAGCAGTTTTCAACAGTTGTGCCCATGTTCTTCCATTCCGAAAATCTTGTCTTCATGTCCATGTGATGCCATGATTCATACTCCTTAGTGGTTTCCAACAGTTACGTTGAATCCACTACCTTGACGGTTCTTTTTTTACTCCACTACATTGGCGGTTGTTTTGACTCCACTATGTTGACGGTTACTTCTTCTTTCTGCATCTCCAACCAGTCACAACCGTCGACTTCCTCTTAATGTTGAAAACTCTACAGTGATTTTCTGAGTAAACTCAAAACATAAAAGTTGTAGATCCACTATGTTGACGGTTACTTCTTCTTTCTGCATCTCCAACCAGTCACAACCGTCGACTTCCTCTTAATGTCGAAAACTCTACAGTGATTTTCTGAGTAAACTCAAAACATAAAAGTTGTAGATCCAGGAGTCTTCGTTCTTTTGGCTTTGGAATCAGGTCAATCCAATCTGTCTCGAAGAAGTTATGACCATTTTCCCGAACTAGCGCAGAACTGAAATTTCGTCGAAGTCCTCGACAAGACGAAGTCACGACCGTCGACTTCCTTTAACCTCAATGGCTTCTACAGTGATTTTTTGAGAAAACTCAAAACATAAAAGTTGTAGATCCAGGAGTCTTCGTTCTTTTGGCTTTGGAATCAGGTCAATCCGATCTATCTCGAAGAAGTTATGACCATTTTCCCGAACTAGCGTAGAACCGAAATTTCATCGAAGTCCTCGACAAGATGAAGTCACGACCGTCGACTCCCTTTAACCTCGATGGATTCTACAGTGATTTTCTGAGAAAACTTAAAACATAAAAGTTGTAGATCCAGGAGTCTTCGTTCTTTTGGCTTTGGAATCAAGTCAATCCAATCTGTCTCGAAGAAGTTATGACTATTTTCCCGAGCTAGCGCAGAACTAAAATTTCGTCGAAGTCCTCGACAAGATGAAGTCACGACCGTCGACTTCCTTTACCCTCGATGGCTTCTACAGTGATTTTCTGAGAAAACTCAAAACATAAAAGTTGTAGATCCAGGAGTCTTCGTTCTTTTGGCTTTGGAATCAGGTCAATCCGATCTGTCTCGAAGAAGTTATGACCATTTTCCCAAACTAGCGCAGAACTGAAGTTTCCCGGACGAAGTTATGACCAGTCTTGTCAATAATACCCCAAAAAATTTGTCATCTTCGGGTGTAAACATATACACTGGACACGTGTCATTTATGTTGGCAACTTGATGATATTTGCTTCCACGTTGCCTCAAGTCTCTGCCATGTGTCCCTTGATGATCTTTGACCATGATTGAACCATGTCGACAAGTTGGCCATTTTTTGGTGTAAACAGTACCACAATCTAAGAGCCTTGTTTTTTCCGCATAGAAAAGGTGGGAAATGGCGCGAATTCCGATGCGAATAGCTACTTTAATACATTCACTCTCCAGAACCAAGATGTCAAGCAAGAGGTATGTCTATTGGGAATGCCGGGAAGGACGTTAACACGAAATGGGATTTTATAATTTCCTCAAATTCCATCATTGATTCGGACTCGAACTCAAATAACAATCATTTTATCCGATTAGCTATTTGATTCGTTAAGCCGGGTCGGACCGGGTCGATCCATCACGGCACTCGGAAAATATCATCCAAACTACGACAATTCGACCGTTGCAACTATCGTCTTTTTGAAAGTTTGATTCTTCAAGCCAGTTTCGTTCGTTCGTCACCACATTCATTCGATCGTTCCGCTAATTATTATTTCCATAGGATACCGTCCAAAAGAAAGGGATGCCGCAACGATTCATCCTCAATAATATCTATTTTATCTCATTTCGTAAGACAATGTAGATGAGAGAGAGAGAGAGAGCAAAATGTGCATACCCAAAAGTTTTAGGTGAGAAAATGAAACTACATGTGCACGATAGCCTAATTTTGATGATTTTAGAGGAATAAATGGATGATGACATTGAAAAATCGAAACTATCGGTAGCAAACATAGTGAAATCATGCGGACAAAACTGTTTCCATTTTGTAAACTATTTTGAAGGTGGGAAGAATACTGTACTAAAGAGATAATTGGGGAAACCGTCCAAAAAGTCGTAAATTTATTGCGCTTTTCCCAATTCAGTTCGAAACCTTGTAATTGTGCCACTCGGGTCCTAAACCTTTTTAACGTTTTGCTGATCGAGTCAATCTGGTCAATTTTGCTTGGAAACCGTCGACGTGGAGGTGGCCGTCCTATGTGTAGCGGTTGGCGGTGACGTAGGCATTTTATTTTTTCTTTCAAATTTTTTTTTTATTTTTTTTTCTTTTCTTTCTATTTTCCTTCTTTACTTATTATTATTTAATGATTTCGGCCGCGCCACGTAAAATAACTACTGTCCACATCAGCGATTCCCCGCCCAAAATTGGCCGGATGGACTCAATTGACAAAATATGAAAATGTTTTAGGATTCAATTGGTACAATTACAGGATTTATGATCGAATTGGTAAAAGTGTAATAGATTCAGAGCTTTACGGATGATTTTGCTAGAGACAATTTTGATGCATTAAATATCCAACATCAACTTCCATTTAGGCGACGTGATCTATATTTGAGGAGGAAAAAAAAGGGATATATAAAATGGGCATGCGAATTGAGCATGCGTGGGCGGACGGCTAAAACCAAACCGAAGAGGCGAAGACCAACTCCAAGACAAAGAAAACATAGTTAAATCCTCCCAAAATCCAACCCATAGATTTATATATATATATATATATATATATATATATATATATATATATATATATATATATATATATATATATCAAAGTAATCTCATGGACTCCTAATTATTAAAAAAAGAAGAAGCAAAGAATGAAACAAAAAAAAAGTGTAAAACATGCACATATTACTATGTTATTACGTGAACACCACTTTAGGTTATTTCATTAAAAATTGCGATTTTACGGAGGACTCTCCGTTCCTAGGCGAATTTAACTATCTCGAATGTTCGACCAATTTATAACCCGATTCTCGTCTTCTTATCCGACGCGATCGGGGCACTGTAAAATCCTCTGATGGTGGCGGCTCCCTCTCGTCGATCGGGTTTCTCACTGCGGCAAATTCCGCTTCGGCCTATGATCTTCGCTTTTTAAATAAAAATACTCGTAATAAAAAAAACTCAACAATGGTTTTCTGGGCAAAAGAAAATAATAACTTATGATGCAAAAAAAAAACGTACGTTCAGAAAAACTTCAGACTCGTATACCTGTGATAATTTTATCCCGAATTAATTTTTCGATCACGAAAAATCCTAAACTGGTACACCCGTGACAAATTTACCACGAGCTAAAGTGAGGCCAGATTTGGGATAAGGGTGAAAGATGATGATTTTTTATGAGACAGAAAAGAGTTGAGGCCAGAATTGTTATTCGACCTAAAATTGATGTTTTTTTCACTGGACAAAAAAAAAGTCGGGACCAAAATTATCGCTTAACCTAAAATTCGTACTTTTTTTTTTTGGGAACTAGCCCCCTTATTATTATAATAAACAATAATAATAAACACACGTGCACATCATTTTCCCTCCTCACGTCAAGACACACGCCCACCCCCCTCCCTCTCTCTCTCTCTCTCTCTCTAAAAAAACTTTGGAAAATCCGTTGGCCCCCTCCCCCTTCCCCGCACGACACCCAAAGAGACGCCGCCGCACCTCCACTTCACATAATTCACAATCTCTCTCTCTCTCTCTCTCTCTCTCCAAAACATGGAGAGCCTCCTCGCCCTCCGCCCCCTCCCCTCCCCCTCCCCCTCCTCCCTCTTCCGCCGCCCCCGGCGGTTCCCGAGATCATCGACGCCGCCGCCCGTCTCCCTCCCCGCCCTCCGATCGAGGCCTCCCTCCTCCTCCCCCTCTCCTTCCCCTCAAAGATCACTCCTTTCTCTCCACCCCCACCTCCCCTTCCACCATAAGCCGAAGACCCACTTCCCAATCCGCGCCTCCTCCTCCCCGCCGCCACCGCCGCCGCCGCCGCCGTTCCGGGGCGCCAAGCCGCTGCCCCTAATCATCTCCGTCGCCGTCGGCCTCGCCGTCCGCTTCCTCGTGCCGCGGCCCCTCGGCGTGTCCCCGCAGGCCTGGCAGCTCCTCGCCATCTTCGCCTCCACCATCGCCGGCCTCGTCCTCGGCCCGCTCCCCGTCGGCGCCTGGTCCTTCCTCGGCCTCACCGCCTCCGTCGCCACCCGCACCCTGTCGTTCCCCGCCGCCTTCTCCGCCTTCACCAGCGAGGTCATCTGGCTCATCGTCATCTCCTTCTTCTTCGCCCGCGGGTTCGTCAAGACCGGGCTCGGCGACCGGATCGCCACCTACTTCGTCAAGTGGCTGGGGAGGAGCACGCTGGGGCTGTCGTACGGGCTCACGCTGAGCGAGGCCCTCATCGCCCCCGCCATGCCGAGCACCACCGCGAGGGCCGGCGGGGTGTTCTTGCCCATCATCAAGTCGCTCTCGCTCTCCGCGGGGAGCCGACCCGGCGATCCCTCCGCCCGGAAGCTCGGGTCTTATCTCGTCCAGTCTCAATTTCAGGTTGGCTACTTGAATTGTGATGGCACGCTACTAAATAGACTGAATTCTTGTCTAACGAGTTGCTTATGGCACCCTAAAGTATTCGAATTGTTTGACAATGTGGAGTCATTTGTGTTCTGAGTATGGTGCTTGCTGTTCGGACGAAGGGTTTCTCGACATCAGGGCAATCATTTTCGAACCTCACGAACTCCGCAAGCCTTGTGTATGCCGATTGATTAGTAGAACTACATCTTGTCGCGAAGGTTGCTAGTGGAACTAACTTATGTGGGATGTGAATTTAAGATTATCGACTGTCTTTTAGCATAACAACCCAAAATCCATGTAATGCTTCCACTGCACCGAAAGTTTCAGAACTTGTGAACTGATTTTCTGTAGCCGTTGGTGTTTAGTCCGTGAATCATCGCATTTCTTAGCGTGTTGCACTTCTATTATTAATAGCTGTGTGTACCAGAAAGAAATGGGACTAAAGGTTGATGCGGCTTATGGAAAAGGGGGTTAGTCTATAAAATTAGTGATAAGGAAAGTTTCCCTTTCGATGTGAATCGCCGTGTTGCAAGGGTAACAGGGGCGTGAGTGATGGATTGACATCTCCATGGACGGGCATTTTAGTGAGAACAGTGTAGATCGCTAGTAATCCTTTCACAAATCGTGTGATAATGAATCTTTATCTTTAATTGGCAAAGGAAATTTTCTTTTACTGACACTTACTATCAAAAATGTTTCTGTACTGGCATTTCCTTGAATATATATCTTGCACTTTTTTGCCTCATACTTGTGTATCCTTAAAAGTTCAGTAACGAGGAATGGAAAGCTCATGATGTGTAGCTTTCCAGATACTGTTAACTATTGTTTTTTTATTTCATTTTCTGGAAGCGTATCGGCTGCATTTCTTGGATTTGTACTTACATCGTTCCAGTATTGTTATTTCTTCATACTCTGCTTCAATGGATTCTAGAATACTAGAAAGTTTCACTATGGCCAAGCAAAACCTTTTTATTTCTTCATACTCAGCATAACTAGAGTATAGTACTCAATATAAATCCCACATAATTAAGTTATGAAACAGTGTAATGGCTTGATTTGCATGACTTTGGAAGAGTCAATAACGAATTTGCTAGATTCTAGTACATTAAAATTGTTCGTAGAAAATTCCAATAGGTCCGGATTGTTTAGGCACTTAGTTGAATTGAATCAGTTGAATTAATTCTGTTATTGAGAAATTCTACATTTTTAATGATTTCTGATGATCTTTGATTTGGTTATTTTGCTTTAGGTGGTTGTTATTTGTGGAGTTAGTTTAGGATTGAAAATGGAAGAGAAAGGAAATGTGTTAGAGTTTTACGTGTCTATCGAATGATTTTTTCTTAGTTAATCATTGGACACAGATGCAGCATGATAAATGTGACCTTACGCTTTCTGTCAATTTTGGTTTCTTGTGAATCCTATATGACTTATGAATGTTTTCTACGTGATGCCTGACAGTCTGCTGGTAACTCTAGTGCTCTTTTCCTAACTGCTGCAGCTCAAAACCTCCTCTGCCTCAAACTGGCGGAAGCACTAGGAGTTATAATAAAATATCCTTGGGTTTCTTGGTTCAAGGCTGCTAGTTTACCGGCCATTGTCTCTCTTCTAGCTACCCCACTGGTATTGTACAAGTTATATCCTCCTGAAATTAAAGACACCCCAGATGCCCCTGCTATGGCTGCCAAAAAGCTGGAGAATATGGGTCCTGTCACGAGGAATGAGTGGGCCATGGTTGGCACAATGCTACTTGCAGTATCACTTTGGGTGTTTGGGTGAGTAACTTCGCTTCCTTCTCGTCAAGTATTATGAGACATTCAAAATCGCAGAGGCAATTGCATGAATGGATTATCTTCAAACTTCAAAGACTCTCTATGGGTGAAAGAAGGATGTTTAAATGTTACCATGTTACCTAATATGACAACTCTTGTATATGGGTTTATAAGGTTCCGACTGCATGACATCTTCTCCTTTGTTTTCATATAATCATCATTATTATATTTGAATGATTTTCTCAATGGCGTCATGACAAGTGACAAGATTAATCAACTCATCCAGCGTTAGGGGACTTACATGATTTAGGACTTTCAAATTTGCTTTCTGTGTAAATGTGAGATCTTTTTGTCAAAAAAATCACTCTGAAGTAACACATCCAAGGATGGATTATCTGCCTTAGACAGCGAATAGGATATGTCTGCTGAGTCTCAGAACTTATACAATTCACCAGAAGGTAACGTGGGGAAACAGATTTGTCCAGCTGACTGCTGATGCAGTCAATGCTTAGTGGAATTAATGGCGCATTAATGCTTCTCTTGTTGTCTAGCGTTCTTCTTAGCTGTCTGCCTTGTTTTATTAATGAATAATTCACTAAAAGACATAGAGGCATTCTGATAGTAGCAAGTGCAGCATGCTCTTCCAACCTCGGCGTTAAGAGACCTGATGGAGAAGAGACTTTTTGAAAGAGATATGCCCCCAATTTCCCATTGACAAGAAACTTTTTTGCCCCCTTTTCAAGTTCATTATGGCTTGTAAATGACTCCCGTTGTGGTAGGCGACATCACATTGGTTTTGCTCAAATTACTTTAATGGAATGATGGAACTTAATGCTTTGACAAATGTACCTTTTGAGTAATTCTTGTTTGCCTTTGCCAAAAGTTGCAATTCTTGGATCCATGCTTTGTTGCATTTGTATGAATGCATCTTGTTGGGTATGCATTTTGAACAGTGACTGTGCTTTGCAGAGACGCGCTGGGAATACCTAGTGTTATAGCTGCTATGATTGGCTTGTCAATACTATTGTTATTGGGAGTCCTTGACTGGGATGACTGCTTGAGTGAAAAGTCAGCGTGGGACACATTAGTATGGTTTGCTGTTTTAGTTGGTATGGCGGGGCAATTGACAAATCTTGGCATCGTGACGTGGATGTCTGATTGCGTGGCTAAGTCCCTGCAATCCTTCTCCTTGAGCTGGCCCGCCGCATTCGGTGTTCTGCAGGCATCTTATTTCTTGATCCACTACCTCTTTGCTAGCCAAACGGGCCATGTGGGCGCTTTATACTCTGCATTTCTCGCCATGCACTTAGCAGCTGGAGTGCCTGGTGTGTTGGCGGCACTAGCATTGGCCTATAATACGAACCTATTTGGCGCTTTGACACATTATAGCAGCGGTCAAGCTGCTGTCTACTACGGAGGTATGTGCGACTCTGTCCTCTGCAATATGCAAGGACTCATGCTTGGTTTGATTGCTTACCGTAATAAAGTAATGTTGTTTTTCACTTCATTTGACCAATTCTATCGAGTGCTCTCTGACATTTTCCGTTCGCATCGTTGCAGCTGGTTATATAGATCTTCCCGATGTGTTCAAAATGGGATTTGTGATGGCCCTTATCAATGCCCTCATCTGGGTAGTAGTTGGAACCTTTTGGTGGAAATTCTTGGGTCTCTACTGACAAATTAAACAAGCAACTGGCACTTGATATTTATTCATCATCCCATCTTGTCCTTACCATTGAGCTTACTTTCCGTCCTCCGGAAGTTCCAATTTTTGGGAGCTTTAGATGAGATTGTTTGAATAATGTACTGCTATTTTTTGGTGCAAGCCTTAAGTTCAGAAATTGAGTTATATCGTCTCTCGATGGCGATACAGCAACAAACTTATATCTGCTTTAATGGTATGGCATAACTCTTCATATCTTGGTTTGAAAAGCAATATTGGAGTTACTCATAGTCCTAAAGAACTCTGTCGAAATTGACTGCTCTTCTGGAGTTCGATGCAGCGCAACGGTGGCCACAGTTTAAATGAGTTTTGATTCTTGTATGTATCAGTTGGATATTGGGTTAAAGCGAGACGATAGGTGGCCAAGAAAAGAACCAAACTTTGATGAGTTTCTGAAGGTCCATTTAGCAACTGGGGAAAGATGTAACAGGGCAGTGGACAAATGTGAAGGTAGTAAAATATAAATTGCAACGAAAAAAGAAAGAAAAAGGATAAAGCGTTTGATTGAAATGAAGCTTGGTTACACTTACATCCTAATCCATAGAGAAATCCAGAGGAAAATTGGTTGCATTCATATGAAGAGCATTCAAATTGAAAATTAAGGGTGTTGCAAACACCCTTGCCTGAATATTGAAGGTAATTTCCTTAGATTATAGAAACGTATGAAGAAATCTTGTTCTTTCATTGAATCTACCCCATCGATGTCCCGATATCAACAGCTCATAGCCAACTGGAAATTCGATTTCTGTCGACGGCAGGTTGGCTGAACATTTTGACGACGGTCCATCGGCATTGAGTACTACTTCAATCAATGGCTAATCGATGGCTGTAACACTACCTTGGCCACAATCATGACTAGAACTACCTTGTCAATGTCCGTGACCACTTTGTCGACGCCCAACTTCAAGTATCATTCTCAGTTTACTCATTTCGTCACTTCGACTTCAGATCGGGACGCCTTAGCTGTCAACACAAGTGCTTCAAAGGAATCATGCTGATCAAGCTCGATTCCAAGTTTCCGCAGTTCATGCATTGCAGTTCCGTTTGCGCCCGTGGCGTGGGGTTCGAACGCGATGCTTGATGAATCGAGTGCACTAACTTGGCTTCTGGAGCTGGACCTACTATATGACCTATTCAGAGCAGAATCATCTTTTCGCCTTCTCGCCCATGCAAATCCATTTGATGCGCTGATTTGTGTTGGACCTGATAAAATACTCCGTCCTTGAGATGTGTCCATCGCTTCAGAAATTGTCGAGGCATCTAAAGATGACTTCAGCGGCTCTCTACATGTAACATCAACTTCTCCCTTCAGGCTACTTCTCGTGTGATTTCTCCGAGCAAACTGAGTCTGGCCTTGCGACTCCTGGGCAATCAACATTGAAATTGTTGAATTACAAGAGCGTTCAACTATTAAACTTAAGACATCCTAATGGCAAAGAAGCAAGGTACTTGGGAGCATCTCTATCATGGAAGAGGTTTCAATGGTTTGAATCCAAGCACTCATCTATAGCTTATCTTCTTACGGTAACGAACACTCGGTTGAATGGAGGGGTCAGTGGTTATACTGATTGAGCTGATGTCAAGTCCAGTACACTCTAAGTTTGGATTGAACAGAGGGAGCTAAATGAGCAAGTCAGACCGCGGAAGCTCAGGTTTTGGTCCCACTGGTAGAACCAGCTTAAGCAGTCTGGGCCTAAGAAAAACATATCCATTACATGCAAGCAGGAAGTAAAAACGGTGAATTGAGAGGACCAACCTCTTTTCGAGCTACCTTACTGGAAACATCCTGCTCTTGTGAAGCTCTATGGACTCTTGTTGGCTTTTTCCCTACTTCGGTTTCTCGTACTCTAGAACGAGCCTTTTTCCTGGAAGCCAGATCATCAGTACATGCATGAGTCTGCCGGAAACAGATTGCAAGTAGCCATCTTGTTCTCAGAATGCTTCGCGCATTCTTTAATCATTGTTACAGTGTATTCAAGTTTGCAAGCATAGAGAACTCAAACAGTAACTTCAACAACAAGAATAAGGAAGTTCACTCAGCGACTTCAGATAGAAAGCTAGAAAACAAGGTTTACATGGACTTCAACACCAGGTCTGCTTTTCTATGTTGAATTGCTAGTGGTACTTCTAGGCTCAGAGGGGGTAGTTGAAAGTCGACATTGGGCCTTATAAGTAATTAAGGATTTCAAGCTTCTCTAGACAAGTTGATAAATGATGGAATTTCCACCTTGATAACCCATGTTACTTTGTGCGCGAAAAGGAACTCACCTCTGTGCCTCCTCTCGTTGTTTAGCATCAATTTCTTTGTTAGGAGGATACTTCGGCAAGCTTGATGGATCACATGCATATGGTTTTGTTTTGAAATACTGGACCAGAAAATAAAAGGAAATTAGGAAGTCAAATGAATTGTATGTCATATTAATCGAAACTCTGAGACTGAAAATACAGTGAGGCAGTATCTGTATGAAAAGCATTTTACTTGCTGAGCCGGAAAGAAGAGAAGAAAAAGAAGAGTCATTTTTACTCGTACAAAAATCGTCTCCATTTAGAGAATCAAGTACTTCAAGCTGACTTAATTCCAATAATATTACCTCGGATATGAGCGCACTTGAAGCAGTTCCACGCTTGTGTGGTTCTATGGAAAGAAAAGTCTCCATCAGGTTCACTGCACTGGTTGCAATGCCTTTGCATCTCTCTCGCAGAGTGCGTTCATAGGAATGGCGGGGTCTAAAGATGGTCGCATGGGGTATCTTAGACATTTTCCAGTAGCCATCGGGTGGGGAACCACAAAGCTTAAAAATTTTGTGCAATTGCTCAACCTGCAATGTTGATCATATGTGAGAGTGACATAGTACAAAAACCGAGAAACATAACACAGTCAGCTTCTTGGACAAGAAGTTCAGCTCTTGGTCTCGGTCGTCCAGTAAATAGCAGCTCCTCTCTTTTTCAAACTTGGACAAAGTAAGAATGTGACTTTCCTCTTGAGTATTCAGGTAGGTACCGATCAACAACAGCTTTATGAGTCCTGGGACTAGACATGTTTTCTCATGTCATTTCTCTCCTTTTGATTAACGAATATCGAGAATCTATCTAAGTTGGGCTTCGTTGTCATTATAAAGGAAAGAAAGAATCATCGAGATCCTATATCGGTATCAACTTTAAAAGAAAAGAAGACTGGCGATTACCTCTGTTCTCCCTTTGAGAATAGGTTTTCGCAACAGAAGTTCTGCAAATACACAGCCAACACTCCACAGATCCACAGTCACCCCGTAGCTTGTGGAACCCATGAGAAGCTCAGGAGGACGGTACCACAATGTAACAACATGACTGGTGAGTTGCTGCCTGTTCTTTGAATTAAGAATATTAGCCAGTCCGAAATCTCCTATTCTCAGAATCCCCTCATTGTTCACCAAAATGTTCGAAGCCTTTATGTCTCGATGAATCACTCCGTGTAGGTGGCAGTGCTCCATTCCCGATAAAAGCTGCTTCATATAACATTTGACCTACAGGAGAAGAGCTCAAGTTCCAAATTAACGAACACAAGAGATGTTGGGAGCATGTGACCTATGGAAAAGAAGTCGACAAGAAGAAAGCCTGCATACCTGGGCATCACTGAACATGATCTGAGGAGAAGATATTAGCCCAGAAAGATCATGCTCCATGTATTCGAACACAAGATACATGCTATTCGACAATCGCGAAGTGATTATGCCCTCCAGTTTCATAATATTTGGATGATCAAGCCTGCGGAGGATTGATATTTCTCGTGCCATAAATTGAATGCTCTCCGGTTGAAAATTGTCGAACCGGACTTTTTTAAGAGCAACCATCCTTCCATTTGCCAACTCTCTTGCTCGGAAAACACTGCTGTATGTGCCTTGTCCTATCTAATGCAAAGTTTGAAATATTAAAAGTTCCATTCTCTGCCAAATATAGCATTGAAAAGCAGTTTAATATAACACACGACCAATGTGACAAGCTCAAATCTAAAAATCTAATCATGAACATACATGCTGTAGATGAATTATAAGTTTCCACGAGTAATATACTTTAACTAAAAACCACCTCTGCTACTTCAAAGGCATTTAGCATATAAAATCAAAAAAGGCACATTCTTGAACTAGATGTTAGAGAGTTTGTAGTGTGAATGTGGAAAAAGGAGTCCCACAAAGAAAAAATGGAAGGAAGCTGGGCTTTCAAGCGGACATTGCGCATTGGATTCGGCTGATTATATTTAGTCTAAAGAAAGCCGCTCCATGTTTGTCGGAATTCGCTCTCCCATCTCGATTTTGCAACGAGGTTAGCTTTTTTACAGGTGCTTAATGATATGGCCTTCCATTTCCAGCACATCTATGCAGATTCTTATCAGCAGCAAATGCTTCGAACTCATACATTGAAGAAACTTGGCCTAATCAAATCAACAGAACTCAGAACATAATAAACTCAATCGGTTTCGATATCATACCTTCTCCAATTTCTCGAAAGAATCTGTTCTAAGAGGAACCAATCCTTGAATTGCTTCACCAGCAACGGCAGTGAGCCAAGAAGGCCATCCGGCGGCCGCTTGTTCGGCTTCCACATACCTATGCGAAAATTCCAACTCCAATCTCAACCTTCTGCTCAATGAACCCTTTTCCTCCGACTTCCTCAATTCCCCGCCACGACACTCGGGTTTCTTCGCATTGCTCTTCTCGAATTCGAACAAACCGGACTGGATCTTCGACGACCCGGTACCGGTACCTGCTCCGGTCAAGAACCCTGAGCCGGGCGATGCCGGCCTCCGGCCCACCTGCTTCGCGCATATGCAGCCCATTAGCCGCGACACCTCGACCGCATCGGATCGAATCACGCGAAACGACGATCGACCCGCATCAGGAAACGATCATGTATGGGGGTGAAAGGCCCCGCCTTTTTGCAGGAAGGGACATGCATTGCATCTGCGGAAAAGGCGAGACAAACCCCCCCCCAACGAAAGTCTTTCTCTCTCCTTTGTCTTTTCTCCTCGTCGAGTCCCCTGTCTTTGCGCATCTCATGGGGTTGCGAGATCTGCGGGATTGAGGAATATGTAAGCGAATTGGACCGTGAAGAAAGGGAGAGATAGAGATAGAGATAGAGAGAGAGAGAGAGAGATGGGGACCAATCCGAAGAAGTGGGCGCTTTCATCGTTTCTTGCGTTTGCAAAAAGGGAGGGAAAGGTGAAATGTAGCCGTTCGGAGGTTCCTGTTGTTGTCATGTCCCAAAGTTGGTTGCTTTCATTTGAAGAGAGAGAGGGAGAGAGAGAGAGAGATGAGTCCAGAACAGTTTGTACGGTTGGTTGTCTAAGGCCAACAACTGCTCAACTACTTCACCATGAACTGAGGAGTTCAGGTGGGCAGTGCTTTGTAATACCAAACTAATTTTTGTTGAAGGATGTGCAAAATGGTAACTTCTGTCTGTACCCAACAGTTTCAAGCAAGTGTGATCTTTGATCTGTACTCAAACATTAACTAATTCCTTCGAAAAGTCTCGTGTTTATAGCATCCTTCACTTATTCGACTCGACTGCCTCTGTATCTGTACAATCTCAATCAAGTTTGATATGATCAACTTATGAAGGAGGGATCCTCTTTTCGCGCTGAGAAGGCCCCATCAAGTTAGGGAGGCGAGTTTGTTACATGATCCACTCGTATTGGGATCAACATAAGAACAATTGCGTTTATCTTTTGTCACCCATGTAAAGGGAAAAAAAACTTATGCTATAGTTGCAATTCAATCTATGAGTCCGTTTGTTTGAACGAAAACTGTTTTCGGGAAATTGTTTTCCGACTTTCCGATATTTGGACGATGGAAAACTAGTTGATCTGCAGAAAATGTTACACGTTAACTTAAAACAACAAGTTTAGATAGAGGGAAAACGAATATTCTCATAGCAAGAAGGAAATCACTTTCCCTAAATCGCTAAGTAAATGAAAACTAATAATTTTCCTTGAAATAATTTTTATAGAAAATATTTTCTTTTTTTTATGAACTTTCTAATAAAATAAACGCACCCTAAGTGTCAAAATAGATTTCGACCAGACAAGAAAGTATCCAAATAGACATGATTTATTCATCATTCTTGCTTTGGTGCTCCAACTTTATACCCATTCCTACAGTTTCCTTTTATGGGGGGTGATTCAATTCCTAGGTTATGATAGTTTTACTTTAGATCTTTTGAATATCTGTCGGATAATACCCTTCTTTATTGACTGATCAAAGATCTCATGTTCTCTTGACATGTGAACTGAATGTGAACCCAGTTACCAAGGCAATAGGGCAACAAAGATTATGCTATTCGCCTTTTTTTTTTTATTGTATTCCATCGGTTCTCCGGTATACTCGGACCGCGAATTGGGGACCGGACGGGTCACATCTGATGGCTGGTAAAATCTTGGAAAGAAAGAGCCAAAAAAAAACCAGTACAGCGAAAGTGGAATTAGCTGTGAAATTCTGAACTATGACTCGATTCAAGATAAGTCATCATAAGTTGAACCTGCCGAAGTCATAGCCATGTATCGCGAAGTAGATTGGATCCGTCGTTTCGTTTTCCCTACCGAGTTTTTCTCATCGAGAGCGAAGGTTGAAATGGACCACCACCACCGTGTTGAATTATGGAATTTGCAGAAAGAAGCAAAGGAGGAGAATATTCTTTGTTTTCCTTTCAAGACTCCGTAATCCATCCGAAACCATATGATGCTGTGGACCGCAATACTTCACAGACGGTACCAAAACGACTAGCAAAAATCGCGGTTTCCTTCTGCCATGGTTGCCCCATCGAAGCTCAGAAGGCTCATATTCAGTGTGCAGGGAGAGAGACAGAGAGAGAGTAATGAAATATCGAACGCAGATTAAAAAAGCAAGATCGTCGTTGTAGCGATGAGAGATGTGCATTGATTTCTCCTTGTATGGACAATATCAAGCATCTCTGGAATCTTGGGCGATCCACAGGGAAGAGGGACAAAATTAGGCATACCATGGGATAAGACTAGACTGATTCTCTCCTAAAGATAAAAACCTTCCCTGGAATGGCAGAGGAGATAGAATTCAAGAGTCTAATATCGCGTCCGAAAATGCCGCCATTTGAATGGAGCATCAGTTCCCTGAAAATGATGGCAGCATGACGTCGCCACGGCCTGAAAGCAGATCATTGTACAGCTCCAACATGTTGGTGTACAAACTAGTCGACATAGTCGCCAAGCAGTATGAGGTGGAAAGCAAACATTAGCTCAAACTCAAAGCACTCGCAAGTAATGAATTACTGTTGATGAGACCGCACAGGAGTAGAAATAACATTGCATTGCCGAAGCACGGCCCTGTCGAGACTTTCTGAATGATGAGTTTCCGATTTTAGGGGAGCCGCACGGATCCTTCTCGCCTGACACACCAGAATTCTCAGTCCTTTGCCACCGGATGCTCCACGTTAAGCACGCGACCGCTGCAGCATGCGTCGGTTTTACCATTTTCGAGATTTAAATCCCTCAATATAATCTCGGACATCAGTGAAGGTATGCGGAATTGTTTGTACCGGTTGAAATCAGATCTTTGAAGAACTTCACCAGATCATGCAAGGAGTCATCACACCATTCATTTGATATGGCCGATACATGACACAAGTTCCTGCTCATCCTCATCCTTTCCCAGTCCTGATGTTCTGCATCTGGCATTACATTATCTTTCTTAGCACCTCCGGCGATCTCCACAGATTTGGCATAAACACCATTCTCCTCAAGCTCAATACCACTTCTAGTTCCTGATGCTTGACAACCCACTGGGTCAGCAGTAACAGCAACATCAGTCTTACCACGCTTCTCTCCATCGTTTAGATTACTTCCCCCAGTGGATCTGGAAGATGGCTCATCTTCACCATGGCAAACCCAAAGCTCATGATTAGTGTCGAATCTGCGAGCAAGCAGAAGTTTTCTGACAGTGCCCTTTTCTCAAGTTCCTGCAGTTGTGGCATTCATCACATGGGCAAGCAATATTTCCTGTCTTCAGCAGCATAGATGCGAATTCGACGAACTTCTCGATGCCTTGCTTGCATCCATTTGCTCGATCTGGGGGTGCAAATCCATCTCCTGCCCATGACAGCTTCCATGAGGACACTCTGATAGGAGAATGACGTTGCGCATTGTTTTGCTACGAATCATTTCCACAGTTGTCAAAAGAAAAAGATGCAGGGAGGTTGTAAACTTGTAGTGACCCAGATCATAAGGAGATTGATCAGATCTAATGGACTTTGCATCATGGCAGTTAAGCTTGAAACAACGAAAGATCAAATCCAATGGCCGGTTTGGTCGAACCATTGTGTCTCAATCTGTATCATTTGCAGAAGGATTTTTATATATAAATATTCAAGAATTTCCCAATTGAAACACTTTCCATTTTGTATTTAATTCCGTAAATAAAAATTTTAGGATTCAATTGCATTTCGAGCGTAATTTTTAAAACTCTTGTCGTAATTACTATTTTCGCCTCGAATTCTTAGAAATGATTCATTTCATAGGTCACCATGATCTACCAAAATGAACATATTTCAAGCCAGAGTAATCACCAGTCATTTGATTTGATAAATTCAGGCCTTATACTACATTTAAAAATCCTAGACGACATTGGGAAGTCAGAAACTTGATCTTACGTATTTTTCCCTTTAAGACCAGATTATAAAATACGGTACAAAGATTAAAATACGACAAATACAAAAAGTTGCCTACAAATTGGAAGAAACAAAACAGTTTGACTTTTCGCGGGAACTAGCGTTTGAAGTGGTTTCTTCGACTTTTCATGGAAAAATTTCGGAGAATATCTTCAAACTCACGCACGAAATGCAATTAAGTCAAATACCTTTCAATTGATATGATGAATAAAAATTAAAAAATTTAAATAGGGCGATCAATGAGACGGTTGGCACTATAAATTACATATGAGGCAATCCGAAATTACCTAAATGATGTGGCCTTAGAGATGGTCAAGTACAAGAAGTTAAAAGGGAGTTGCCAAGTGCAAAGGCGAAATCGGGATCGCTGACCTTACCCCGCGCCCCGTCCTATCGCCAGTGTCGCGGGTGGTGGTTGCGGCTCTTCGGGGACCGATTGGGGTGACGGACGGACCGGGTGGCAAGTGATGCGACGGCGGGGGGCCACCGCGAGGAAGAGCCCAAAAGGAAAGGGGGAAAAGTTTAGGGTACTCAGCCGCAGTTATGCATGAATACCTTAATGGTGCTAATTTTGTCTCGCACGTTAAATACTATGCTTTTATTTCTTACAATTGGAAAATCGGGATAGAATTATAAAAAGAAGAAGAAGATTATATTTGTTTTTAGAGCTAACATCACTAAAAACTTCAAATTGATATAATTATGATAAATTTATTTTAAACTAATATTTTGATCACCAAAAATTTAAAATTAGTATATTTATGATAAATTTACCCTCCGTTATTTTCTTTTAAGTTTTACTGTCAAATTGCTGAGGTGGATGACACGTGGCAGTTGACGAGTATACCAATTTGAGGTTTTACCCTGTCTTTCATAATATTGATCTAATTTAACGGAAACTTATCACAAATGTAACGGTTCGGGATTTTCGGTGATCAAAATATTAGTTTTGGAGTAAATTTACCGTAAATATACCGATTTGAGATTTTTTGTAGTAACAACCTTTATTTTTATGTTATTTCATTTTTTTATAATTTACCAACAACATTTTCTTCAATTTTTGTCTCGTAAATTAATTCCCCAAAAATGTCATTAACGCAAAATAAATCCCGCAAAAAATTCATCGTTTAACAGCGTCGGCGAGTCAAAGGCCATGTCCTCCTTCCTCCTCCTCCTTCCCATGTGCTGCGATTCAACTTCAATCCCACTCCTCTCTCCTCCTCCTTCTTCCCTCTCTTTCTCTCTCAAGATCCGGACCGTCCGTTCCCCCTTCGCGGATCGCCAATGCCGTTGATCCCCTGAAGCTTCGTTCGGCGGCGATCCAGCGCCCCCGGATTGGTCGGCGGGCGCCGGGGAACCACCACCGCCAGCGGCGATGCGGGTCCAGTCGCCGCCGGCCGCGGCGCCGGCTTCGAAGGGCGGCCAGCAGGACGCCGAGTCCCTGTTCCGGGCGAAGCCCATCGCGGAGATCCGCCGCGCGGAGGCCGCGACGCGGAGGCAGATCGAGGACAAGAAGGAGGAGCTCCGGCAGCTGGTCGGCACCCGGTACCGCGACCTCATCGACTCCGCCGACTCGATCGTCCTCATGAAGTCCTCCTGCGAGTCCATCTCCCGGAACGTGTCCTCGATCCAGGCCTCCATCCTTTCCCTCTCCTCCGAAACCACCCCAACCCCCACCCCCGCCGCCGCATCACGGAGCCCTAGCCGCCACGACCCCGCGCGGTTCGACGTCTACGGCATTGCCTGCCGCGTCAAGTACCTCGTCGACACGCCGGAGAACATCTGGGGCTGCCTCGACGAGTCCATGTTCCTCGAGGCCGCCGCGCGGTACCTGCGCGCGAAGCACGTCCAGCACGGGCTGGTGCGGGACGGCGGCGAGGGGGGCGGCGGCGGCGATCCCAAGATCTTGGCCAACTTCCCGCTCTTGCAGCACCAGTGGCAGATTGTCGAGAGCTTCAAGGCGCAGATCTCGCAGCGGAGCCGCGAGAGGCTGCTGGACGGCGGCGGGCTCAAGATCGGGGCTTACGCGGACGCCTTGGCCGCGGTGGCGGTTATTGATGATTTGGAGCCGAGGCAGATTCTGGGATTGTTCCTTGACAGCAGGAAGTCGTGGATTCTGCAGAAATTGGCTACTTCCTTTGCGAATCCTACTTGTTCGGACGTCGTCGCCGTGTTCTGCGAAGTGCTGAGGGCGATTCAGGTCACTATGGGCCAAGTAGGTGAGTTGTTCTTGCAAGTGTTGAACGACATGCCCCTGTTTTACAAAGTCACGCTGAGTTCTCCACCTGCATCTCAGTTGTTTGGTGGGATTCCAAACCCTGATGAGGAGGTCAGGTTGTGGAAATCTTTTCGGGATAAACTGGAGTCGGTGATGACACTGCTCGAAAAGGCGTATATAGCTAGTACTTGTTTGAATTGGCTTAAGGATTGTGGACGGGAAATTGTGAATAAAATGAGTGGCAGGTACCTGACGGATGCCATCAGTAGTGGTGAGGAGATAGCATTGGCGGAAAAATTGATTAGGGAGACCATGGACAGTAAGGAGGTTCTGGAAGGCAGTTTGGATTGGCTAAAGAGCGTTTTTGGATCAGAGATCGAATTACCCTGGAGCAGGATCCGAGAACTTGTATTGGAAGCTGATCTGGATCTCTGGGATGAGATATTTGAAGATGCATTTGTTCAGAGGATGAAATCGATCGTCGACTCGGGATTTGGAAATTTGACCAGGGATGTGAATATAGCCGAATCGATTCGTACCATTGAGGGGACACCTGGTGAGAAGATAGATTTCCGGGCATATCTGAGCAGACCTTCCACTGGTGGTGGAGTCTGGTTCATAGAGCCTAATGATCGGAAGACTGTCACACTTCCTTCCTCAAAAGCACAGGCCGAAGAGAGTAGCTTCCAGACCTGTCTTAGTGCATATTTCGGTCCTGAAGTTAATCGGATTAGAGATGCAGTAGACAATTACTGTCAGAGAGTTCTTGAGGACCTTCTGCACTTCTTAGAATCTCCCAAAGCAGCAATACGACTAAAGAATCTGGCAAAATATCTGCAAGATAGGTGCTATGAGTATTTGTCTAGCATATTAATGCAACTTAAGGGTGAGGTTGACAGCCTCAGCACTGCACTTGAGAATGCAAAGAGAGAGAGTCATACACCATATGCTGCCATAATTGTGGAAAGATCTCTCTTCATTGGGCGACTGCTGTTTGCACTCCAGAATCACTGTAGACACATCCCAAGAATTTTGGGATCGCCAAGGTTCTGGGTAAATGAATCAATTTCAGCAGTTTTCGACAGATTACCAGGCCTTTTGGGGCAATCCCGTGGAGTAACTGATTCTCCTGTCAGTGACAGCTCAATTCGGCAATCACCCATGGGTTCTAGAAGACATACCTCGTTGGCCACAGCTGCAATACTTGGAGCTGATGATATACCAAGCCCGAAGTTCAAAGATTTTTCTGCTACTACACGAGATTTATGTGTAAGAGCTCATAGCTTGTGGATAACGTGGTTATCAATGGAGTTGTCAACAATCCTATCTCGGGATCTTGAACAGGATGATGGATTATCATCAATAACTCCTTTGAGGGTTAGTGTTGCTTTCATCGCCTTTTTTTTATTTGTTTTTAAAGCCTTCATCATACCAGAAAGTCTCTGTTTTCCTTTATTCCATCTCAACTTCCTTTTGTTTCAACTACTAGTAGTAATGAGCTTAGAGTCCTGAGTAATAAAGAGAAGTGCCAGTGCAAGTTACAACTGCTGCAACTTCCACCTTAGGTCGTCATAGAACTATGAGTATGGGAAAAGAAACGGAAACTCTAAGGCTAACCTCTGAGGACTCAGGATGTGATTATTATTTGGGAAAACTGACAGATCCCTTATATTGGGTTGTTAGGACTTAAAAAGCTGACATTCCACGCTAGATTTTGGGTTAGTACAAATGGAAGAGGTGTATATCCTTCGCATGCGTGGTTGTGTACTTTCTGTGATTTTCACTAAACATCTTATTTAGGTGAAAGCCTGACAGCTTCTCTTGGTAGGCAGCATACCATAATTGGGAACTCACTAGGGACTAGCAGACAGTGCAAGTTATTGTATTTTAGTTAAGGGGTTTGTCTTGCTATATCGATGATGATGCTTACGATGGCCAGTTGAAGAACACACTATATCACTTTTGTTGGCAGTTTGGATAGTCTTTGATTAATTTTCTCCGACTTATTTTGGATGATCACGCATAAAGAGCTTTCTTTCTACTGAGAGGCATGACATCACTATTGGCCTGTGAAAAGTCAACGGTTCTAGCTGCAGTAAAATTGTAACCTGGTTAATACTAGGAAACTTACTCTATCTTGGTTTGTTTTAATGTGCTAACTGATCTTTGACTTCTTACGTTTTCTCTTCTTAATTTGCATGAAGAATATATTTTAGTACTCAGTCCCTCTTTGTCCATTAATTAGGGTTGGGAAGACACAGTAATCAAGCAAGAGCAGTCTGATGATGGCCAGTCTGAGTTGAGGATGTCGCTCCCCTTCATGCCTTCTCTCTATGTCATCTCCTTTTTATTTCGAGCATGTGAAGAAATTCATAGAATTGGGGGTCATGTGCTTGACAAGTTAATTCTGCAAAAGTTTTCCCTGCAGCTTTTGGAAAAGGTATTTACTTAGACTGCCACAGCATTTGGATTTTCATAATTTTGAATCTACTACATATGAAGGTGGCCCATTTTTCTAATTATGAAATCAGTAGTATCCTATTACTGTTTTGCTTCTGCTACTATTTTCTTCAGCTTTATCCTTTCAAATGCCTTGCTTTCAGTGTACTCAACCCCATCTCGAGCGTTCTAATAAGCAAACAATGTGCGTGAGCACGTTTTGAATGCTTGGGTGGCTCAATAATTTTCATTTGCCCTTACTTTGGATAAATTGGCCATGGCAAATAACAAGCAATGAAATCGTGGTTAACAATTATCCTGACACAAAGTGGTATATGAATGCGTGTCTTGGTTAGACGCATACTTCCAGTCTCTGCTTCTAATGATTTTATCCTTTGGTAGAATGTTCAAATGACTACTTAAAGTCACCTAATTAGGAGGCTAAAATCATTTGATATTAATATGAAAGTCAAGAGTTCCCCCTGGAGTCGCGTTCTTGTTTGGGAGGCTCTTAAAGCAAGTTTCTTTGACTCTCAACTGCTCGTTGAGTGGAGGGAAAGTCTTGTTCATTGGATGTGTCTGCTGAAGTCAACAGTGATTCACTTGTTGTCACATTGCAACGGGTTTGACCAACTTTTTGCTTGGGAAGCTTCTTGAGAGAGCATTTTGACCATTGATAATCTTCCAAGAAAAGGAAAATTATGGTGAAATTATGTTGCCTCTGTATGCAAGCAGCAGAGACATTGAATCATCTATACCTGCACCGCTCATGGATGACCCGTTTCTGGTCTCCAAGAAGTCGGTTCTAGGTTTGCAGTGCGTTGAGGCCTTCTATTTCGAGGATGAGATGAAAGCTTCAGATGTTATTCCTATTTGTTGTAAAGAACGGTGAAAATTTGTTTTTTCTGTCCCTCTTGCAAATTTTTGGATGACTTGGATGGGGAGAGTTAGGAGAAACTTCGATGCAAAGGGGCTTGTAAATTTGTCGCGCTCGGTTTTTTTGAACTTTTCATTTAGATATGGCAGTTCTTAGACTCATACGATGTCTAGAGCTGCTACTATCCCTCTCTTGTAGTAACCACCCTTCATGCTCTGTCAATGAAATTGTGTTTGCTAATACTCCAGATTGGTACCTAGGAAGGTAATGCCTTGAACTGCTTAATTATGTATAAAGAAAATGATGCTTGCATATCTTTTAGATGGGGTGGAAGGGAAAATTTTTTTCATATGAAGAGTCTGAATGACCATCTGCAATGGTTTTGTTTGATACATGTTTTCCTTCTCTTCTAGACACTCTGTTATAGTCGTCCGCATAAACTTGTTATCTGATAATCTGTGGTGTTAGCTTTTATAATGAAATTACAATTCTTTTTTATTTCTCCAATGTCAGCTGCATTTTTCAATGCAGTGTTTCCATCAGAAAATTATGATTACTATCGCTTTGTGAAGCTGTAAAGAGCTTTTTCAGATTTATGGTGGTTTACGTCCTACAATATCATAAAATCCTCTTCCTTTCCCATAATGGTGGATGTCTTACGAGCTGTGCCTTTTGGCTTTTGTCATTTACTCAGTTCTGTGGACAGTCCTAGTGTGGTTTTTGTGATTGCTTCATGTCTATGGCTTATTTCAATCTGGTGTTTGTTTACCGACTATTTTTGATTATATAGGTGACTGATATATATGGAAACTACCTGTCTACTGAGGAAGCTAATGGTTCTAAAGTGTCAGATAAAGGAGCTTTGCAAGTTATGTTAGATTTGAAATTTGTGTACGATATTCTTTCCGGAGGTGATTCCACCATGGATGAGGAGTTGTCTAGAAGTTCAAAGCCAAAGTATTCATTTAGGCAAAGGGATCAAAGACAGAAAAAGTCTGCCATCGGATCACGTATAGATGGATTGGTACATCGTCTTTCACAGAGATTGGATCCCATAGACTGGCTCACGTAAGTTACCGGATCTGTTTTTGCAGTATATATTCTACAAGCAGCCAGTACTCCAAGATGTTTTTACAAAATCCAATCTCGATCTTCATGAAGATTTGCATGCGAGAGTCCTGTACTTTTGTTCTGTTTTTTATTTGATATTGTTTCCAAGTAAGGTTTAAGCTAAGCGAAGGAAAAATAATGATCTGTGTTTAGATTAGAGGGTTAATGACAATAGGGGGAATAGAAAGAATTTTCTTTCATGGTCAAGTGATTGCCCTTTTATTAAACCTGGGTTGAAGCTATCGGCATGGGAGTTAATTCTGATACCTGAACAGCTCTTTCACATGTAAATGATGCTTAGATGATGATGCTCAATTCTGTGCATTTGGTTAGAATTCTGTTTGATTTTTAGACATATTGTCCGGAGATGATTGTGTACTAAATGCTTCTTCGGAAAAGGTGGAAATGGAGGAAAATGAGAGGCGAGGGAAGAAGGTGGGACACAAATTAAAATTCCCTCGGATTTTCAGTGATGAATTCAAATGAATTCACCGAAAATAGTTACAATCTTTACCTTCTCTTGGAGGTCTACATACTATGATAAAATATAAGAAGATATAGCTAATTGAAACCCTTGGACCATCTATCTAGTACTAGCTGAGTTATGTTTATGTCCCAGTAAATGGTTTTTGTGATTGTAAGTCTTCATTTTGTTGCAATTACCTAATAGTGTTTTCTTGTTCATTCATTTAAGGTTTGAGCCATATCTGTGGGAGAATGAGAGACAATCATATTTACGGCATGCTGTCCTCTTCGGGTTCTTTGTACAACTTAATCGGTTGTATGTGGATACGGTGCAGAAACTGCCCACGAATTCAGAATCAAATATTATGAGATGCTCTACAGTTCCCCGATTTAAGTACCTTCCAATCAGGTAAATATACCCTTTCATGTGTTTGTGTTTGCAGGATAGATATTTGAGCTTTCATGACCAGATTATCTCAAGAAAAGCATCTCTAAATATTGAATTTTGTATGCAGTGTACCCGCATTGTCTTCAAGGAGGACATCTAAAGCAACTACTGGTGTTCCTATAGATGGTTTTTCATCGAAAAGTCCGAGATCTTATAGTAACGGAGAACTTTCTCGAACAATTGATTTGGACGACAGAACGTCTTCTGGAGTAGCAGCTCCATTGTTGAAGTCTTTTATGCAAGTGAGTGTGCTTTCTTTCTTTTGCTTATCTTTCTGTACCTTGTTATAAATTATTTTATTAAGTCCCTGGCTAGTCATCTACCGGCTTTATAGAGCTCTTTGTCGTGAGCATCTGTGTTGGAGAGATGATATTTCTGACTTCCTAACCTTTATTTGGACTTAGTCTTTCCGCTTTGATATTTTCTTATTTGGAGAAACTTATAATTTTAAATTTGATTGTATCTTTAGTTGTCGAGGTGTTTATTTCATTGCATGCGTTGCTGTTTGAGTTAACCGAGTCTTTTTTGACATGGAATGTAAAAAGTACCGAAAGTGTGGGACATAGTGCAAGAAAACTGTGGTGTACCAGAAGTTTATAACTTTGGCCTACCTTTTTTGAGCTTGTATGCGTAGTTTTGCAGCGAGATAGTTCTGTGTACTTCATGTTGTTTTGGTACATCTGGAGTAGACATTGGCTTTTCGCTGAACATTGTAATTGTGAGATGATTTTAGTTTCAGAGATGTCAGATATTTGGCTCAGTGTTTTGGAAAGAAAGTCTTTTTCCATGTTGTATAACATGCGTCTGATATTATTGGCCAGGTTGGCAGCAGATTTGGAGAGAGCACACTGAAACTGGGATCCATCCTGACTGATGGTCAAGTGGGCATATTCAAGGACAGGTCAGCTGCTGCCTTATCGACGTTCAGCGATGTTTTACCTGTGCAGGCTGCGGGTCTTCTTTCATCCTTCACCGCAACCCGACCAGATGCTTGAATGAGAATGCCTTACTCTATGCCAATTGATATTTGCATTGGAGTCCAAGACAGGTAAAACATAAAGCCTTTTCACGTTTTGCTTCCGGCTTTCTTAAGTTTCACCTGAGACTCTGGGGTACTCCCAGATAAGTGGTGCGCCCAAAAGCTATTTTTCTAGGGTGACGGAATGAAAAAGAGAATACCTTTTGGATTGGGAGTGAGGGGGCAAGAGCTTGTGTTGGTGAAGCGAGATCAAGAAAGGCTTCATATATGTTGTGGCGTGCCTGAAGGAATAAGTGAGCTGGTTCAGCATTTTTTATTACATACCTTTATTAGGCGCAGACGCTTGTAAAGCATAAAATGGTTGTTATACTATGATAGGAGATGTCGGCAGTGTTGAGGGAAGTTCGTTTTGTAAAAAAAATTCCAGGTGAGGCATATGCTTGGACAGACCGCTATGAGATGCCCCATCATGTGCAGATCACTTGTTTTTATCATTCAAATTTTGTTCCTCTCATGAATTATTTCAATTCATAGACAAAATTAAGTTACAACAATGTATAATTTTGGCTCCCTGGATGGCTGGATCTTTTTCCTTGCTACCTTGTGCTCTTTTTTCTTTTTGTGTAGCTTAATGCATTTTTACTACATTGTAATAGTTGTCTCTTGAACTAAACCTAATCCATCCATTGCTGTAAATTCAGTTGACTGGACTTCCCATTGAATCATCTCTCTCTCTCTCTCTCTCTCTCTCTCTCTCTCTCTCGATTTTGTTAGCTGGGGGCATTAGTTGTGAAAATAGCTCTGAGATCCTAAGTGCTGCCTGCCTATTTCCAATGACTTTCGACACCTATTGATGGCATCGTTCCCTAAGATTGGAGAGTGTTCGAACCAACACGGGTGTGGACGGCGAGCTTCAAGAAGACAGGCGAGCTCTACGGAGGGGGGCATGGCTCGGCCAAAGACACAGGATTAGGATACCGCTGTTTGACGAGTCTCCTTTCCCTGCTCTCATTTCTGTTCCCATTCAAAGGACACTTTAGATGTTTGACGAGTCTCCTTTCCCTGCTCTCATTTCTGTTCCCATTCAAAGGACACTTTAGATATTGGCTTGATTCTCCGATTTCAGCTTTACCATAATAATGAGTTATATTATACAAGGTGTGCGCCATCTATCAATATAAAGAGATGGAAGTGAAACTATCCTGAGAGGAAATTCGGGCGATTTGTGAGTCAAAATAGGGAGGAGGATTACGTGAATCGAAAATAGAGAAAGAACACGTAAAATTACTGCTTGTGGAGTTGTGGCATTCTCTTTTTGACATTTAGTTTTAACTATAGATGCATATACATACTAAATTTTAAGTCACTTTAACTTTCTCATCGTAATTTGAAAGTCTAAATGAAGTAAAACATTGATTTTTGTGTGGATATATATAAATAGGGCATTTCATTTTTGTAAGTTTGAGCCGAATCAAACACTCCCTTCAAATACTAAGAGTATTTTTAATGAAGATTAATATCACTAAAAATTTTATATTCTGCCCACCGTGACATTGATATCCCAAACTTTTTATGTCACCAGAAATCCTAAACAATGCTTATGGTGCTACAAGTACTCCAAATTATGTTTTTTGTCACCAAAACCCTCCTAACTTGTACAACTGTTTAGGGTACTAGTGACAAATTTTTTTTTCGGTATTGTTGTCATAATGAGAAAAATTTAGGATTTTTTTTGTGGCAAACAGAGTATTTTTGTTACATTGGTACAAGTATGATGATTTTGGCGATAAAAAAAATTTGGTTTATTAAGGCTATTGGGCATAATTTAGAGTTTTTTTTTGTAGAATCTTCCCTTTTAATAAATAAAGATTAGGAATTTACTCATATTCCTCTGTTTATCTGCAATTATAGCTATAATTCTGTGTAATTCTTAATAAAGCTTCCACGTAAATAGAAGTTTTCCGAATTTCACTCCTCTTTATTACCTCTCCCATGGCAGTGGTGGTACGACAACCGATGTAATTACTAATATAAAAAATGAATATCACACTACTATCCTAGTAAAAGATAACTAAAATTTTATAACTACAGTGACTATAGAAATTAGAGCAATCATGACTAGGGCTGTCGTAAATTGATAGAGCTTTAGCTAGTACATGCTTTAATTTTATTATATAATCAACAGTTATTAGAATTCATGACACAAATAATAACATTATCACAAGGCAAGAATATCATACTAGGAAAAATAATCACAATTTGATAGATCAGAATTGTCATAACCAGTGCTGTTATGAATTGATGTTTCTATGCTTTTATTTATTTATACAATCAATACAGCTATTAGAATCCGCATTATAGAAAACAAAATAAATTTATTGCATCACTATTAGTATATTATAACTTACATATGCGATCTTATTGAGTTTTGGATTTTTTTTTCTATTTTCATTGTCAAACCAAATAGAATAGTTACTCACCTTATTAGTTAAATCAAGATTACAGTAGTTTCACAGCCCTATCTCATTGTTCTTATCTATTATGTTGCTGTCTTATACAACTACTTTATCATGGTCTATAGACCATGCATACCAAAAACTGTTCTCCACCGTTGATCACATAACCCTGCCGTGGAATCCACATAATCAATGGTCGAGATTGTATTAATCTACATGGTCTACAAGCTATGCAATAATTTCGTCAATAGCGCCAAATTTGAACTTCGAAAGAATTATATCCACATCCAATCTTTTGTTTTCAAACTCATACATCATACATAAATAGGCAAAAGGACAATATAAGTGCCATAAGTTGTGTACGGAGATCACTTTGATGCCATAACTTTTTTTCGGATCACTTTGGTGTCAAGTCGGAGGAAAAGAGATCACTTTAGTGACTCCGGCCAAAATTCCGACCAAAAAAAGAGCCACGTCAAATTTTCGACGAGCCACGTCAGATTTCCGGCGAGCCATGTCAGCATCGGAAATTAATAAAAAAAGAGTCACGTCAGATTTCCGGCGACCATGTCAGCATTGGTACTAAAGTGATTGTTTTTAAAAAAAGTTGACACCAAAGTGATCCGAAAAAAAGTTGTGGCACCAAAGTGATCTCCGTATACAACTTATGGCACTTATAATGTCCTTTTGCCTTCATAAATATATGTACAATGATAATGCCCTCGCTCAACTCTGTGAATTTTACCTTCTGCAATCCAATCCAATCCAAATTCTCAGTCATGAAGTCGCCCTCACCATGTAAGAGGGTTTCAACTCGCGGCAAGAAGATGCACCGCATCATCATGCGGAAACAGTCTGAAAGAGATCAGATGATGCAAAGGATACACGACGATCTTGAACTAGCTATCGGCGATGAGAACGTCGACGTCGCACAGACGCCACCGGAGAAGGCCATGTCGTCGGGCTTACGATGGCATGTTACGAAGGCCGGTCACATGCATTGCAAAGAGTGCAAGAGAGAGAACGCAAGGGATGATGGATTAGGGTTTCACTTTTGCCCAAACGACGAGGTGGTAGTCGGATTCAGGACCAAGGCGGATCCGATCGCCCGCCCATCAGCAAGAAAACCCAGCCTGGATCTAGGCACGGCGGAAAGAACTAGTAGTTAAACCTATGGTATTGGCGGGGCGGCGATGCATCCATGCACATAAATAGTTCTTGTCCAGAGAACTCAAAACTTGATCCTTTCAGTGTTTTTGGGTTCATTCCGTTTCGATTCGAGTTTATGGAAGCGATACTCTTTTCTTTCATATTCATGTCATGCTCTAATGAAGATTCAATGAGTGATTCTCAGGATAACCATACTGATTTATGAGTATATACGGAGGTAGATTTGTTGAACCCAATCGTTTTGGGAGATCTTGTTTACTTCATTGAATTACTCATATTCTTTGCTTTAGTTTCGATCATTCCAATTTATTTCGTTTTTTAGTGCGATTTGGTTCGGTTAGCCTCGAATGTGGATCGAACTGTACTGTTCGTCAAGGTCACCCCAAAAGGGAGTGATTACTATGAAAGCACCCTCATGTAAAGACGCTGTGTTAAAAGGTTAGTCATGGAGTTTTTTATCATAGAAAAGCAAGCAAGAGAAATAAAAAAAAGTAAGTCAAGTTCCACAATACCAGTAAGTGCAAAATAGGAAAGATTTCCTTCCTCGATATATTTGTTTCGCACGGGGTTTTGAGTTTTGAGTCCACTAGCGCGGGTGACAGATATCGAATTCAGGTTTTCTTTCCTAAATAAGAATCAAGACTCGACATCAAGTACTTCCTGTTCAGGCTCAAGATTGCTCTGAATCACAATCATATAGATGTACATGCAGTGAGTGGACAGTGCTCTCATCACTCAAACTCTTACCCATCAATTCTCAGTCATCAAGTCGCAAAATCGCTGGCGAAGATTGGTCTGGCAACCATCAAAAGGATGGTGCCCCGTGCAGTCATGCTGAAGCAATCGCAAAGCGATCGGGGAACACAAAGGAGCCGCGACGGTTTCGAGGGCATCGAGAAGGAAATGAACGCGAAGAAGGAGAGGGAGCTGGGCTGGCGAAAGGCAGGTTACGTGCTTTGCAAAGACTGCGAGGCTGAGAAGGAAAGAGATGATGGGTTGGGGTTCCACTGTTGTGCTCGCAACGATCCGGTGATTGTCTGATTCAGGACCAAGGCGGGATACATCGGCTGCCCACCGGAGAAAACTCCCGGCCAGGTTTCCAGAGTAGCGTAAAGAACGGGTTGGACCCCGTGGAGTTGGCAGTGGCCAGGCGTTCATGCTCGACTTGGGATATCGTATCGTTGCTGAAATATAGCTCGGGGTTTGAACGTAGACAGTAGACATATGATTCTCGTAGGATTGAGTTTGTGTAGTTCGTTAGATTTGAGTTCCTTAAACAAATTTTTTTGGATCAATTCTTTACTATTGTTAATTTCTACGAGCATATCACATCAATATATAAATCTGCTATTGTTTCTACATGCTGTTGTACTTAGAATTTGAATGATGCACAACTATATTAAAGAATTGAACGTTAAAGAGGATATAAATCAATATATAATCGTATTGTGTTAGACCTCTCTGAACTGAAGGTGTTGTGATTATCATCAATAGCTAAGTTTTAGTCAAATTGAAATAAGTAAAGAGTAACTATCAAATCATGTGATTGTAAATTAAAAAAAAAAATACCCAGATGTACGTAGTATGTAAATAAGAAGGGATGTATTCAACAACTATACTTTCCATAAACCTAACACGAAATAAAATATAAATCCACGAGATTATTTGGAGAGAGATAGTCGATTCAAATTCAAAAAATTTCTCAAAATTTGAAACTATGTTAGTTAATTGATAAATTACAGTTCATATTGATGAAAAGATAAAAATACTATTTTTGTAATTGTTTGCTGAAAACAACATTTTGTGAATTGCTTATTCCTTCCCATCGACCATAATGTAAGTGCTTGATAAGAAATATTTCCTTCTTTCCAGATTGAAAAAACAAAGAACAATGATTTCCTCATACGAAACTGTTTTTGTTGACTCAGATTTTCTACTGTGGAG